GAAACCATGGAGACATCAGGGGGGATACTATCACTAGGAGGAAGGCTCAGAGAGACGGAGTGGGAGGAAGTTAGAAGAGGAACCAGCACTGGAGAACTGCAAAGAGAGAGTATTTATGGGACACTGAAACAAAGAGAGGGCTCACGAGCAGATTGGGAGCAGGTGTGAACAGCGCAGAAACAGGAAAGGAGCTAGGAAAAAAGGAGAACACAAGAGGGCAGCAGAGGGCAAAAAAAAAATAAAAACCTGAGAACTGAACATAACCAGAAAACACAACAAAATAAGAATGAAACCACTAAAACTAGAAAACATGGTACAAAGTAAAACAGAACACACAAAAGGAAGCATAACAGAACCAAGACTATAACAGTTGGGACTTGGTGCTATATAAATAAACTGAATTGAATTTGATTTGATGTGTGTCAAAGGCCAAAATATCTAATAAACTACATAAATGTGAGTGTCTGATTAAAGAAACAAATGTACCTGAAATAATTAGATATACCGTGTACTGTATTTATTTATCTAATCCATGACTCAGATATTAAATATACCAAACAAATTGTAAAATTCACTATCAAATTATTGCATGTCCAAATTAATATTTTAAAATACATTTAATACGACGAATAAAACAATATATATTTTTTGATATATTTATATAAAAAGAAAATTATTCAATTAATAATTTCATTCAAAATACTTTATACAATTTTTTTAAACAGGTGTTGTCGGTGTTGATAGCTGTGAGCAGAAAGCATCTTCTGTAGAGGTCTGGGTTGCACTGGACCTGGAGAACCCTCTGACTGAAGATACTCTGTTGCTATTTAATAATCCCCTCAATGAATTTCCTTTTTTTTCATTATTATTATTAATATATACCTAAGTAAATCTATGTGATTTTAGTCAGTCCCAACTGTTTGCTTTGCTATTTTTGGGGTCACAGGCCGAAATACTTGGAGCTCCCATTGGTTGATGAGGATCCCGGTCGGTATTAATTAGAAGCCTTTCTTGTTGCACTTTGACTAGACCTTGAAAGAGAGCATCATGTCGCAGTAAAGAAAATTAAAAATGACCCTTCTTCTCTATGATAGTGTTTTAAAACCTGCAGCTTTCTTCATAACATGCAGATGACAGAAGATTCAGGAGACGTTGATTTTTATCTTGTTTTTTGTTTTTTTATGTGCTTTATGAGGGGGTTGGCTTGTTTTTGAGTCGTTCTTAACTGTAGTGACCTCTATAAATAAAAGTATTATTAATAACAGGTTTACAAGGGCAAACATTTGAACTGGTGTGATTGTACTGGGTCAAACCTTTCCAGTGACAATAGGAAGATGGTTATATCTGCATCCTAGAGACCAGGCATCAATAAAAGGTCAAATAAAACCTCCAGATCTTTGTTCATTATTCTAAGGAAAGGTGGAGGAAGCCTTAGTTCTCCTCTGGACACGGTCAGGGGGGCATTTATTTTGGATTTTTAATTTGAAATCACAGAGCTGTGTGCAAATACTCAAGCTGACCTACTTCTACCTCTCAGACACTGATAAAATCCATAAATTAAGGAAATTAACTGATGGGGCCCAGGGCCACTTTGTAAGCTATTTAAATCTTTAAATTTACAACATCCCTGCATACTTCATATAATTGAACTTACTCCAGGCATGTTTCCTTTAATGAGAAAAAAAATCTGTTTTCCCCTCCAGTTTTTTACCTCTGGAAACAACAAATCTGAGCCAGAGGGGGTGAAGAGGGAGAGCTCCAAGGCACACCGAGGTCCCTCTAATTATATGAAATGTTAGCGTGCCTGCAGCAAAGATGAACGCTCACACTCCTTTCACTGCTGCTGTCATATATCACCAGCAAGATCACCTATTTGTATCATTTAATTGCTATTTTATGCAAAAAAACAAAAAACAGGCTATAATGCAGGGGTGAAGGTGGAGGATGGGGCTTATAGGCACCCATACATTTACTGGCAACCCTACAGCCCCTCTGGCCGCACAACGTTTTACCCAATGTGCTGAATAAATTCAATAAGTTGAAGGCTTTTTATCTATTTTAAGTGCATACATCATCATTTTTACAACTTTTGCTTTCTTTTCAGGCTTGAAACTCATAATAAGTTTTTTGGCTTTTATATCCATACCCAAAATATTGAATCATGTAAGAAAACAAACAGGATTTCTCTACTGGGGAGTAGGATGCCAGTGTTTAATTAATGAAAAAAACAGGGAGCAGTTTGTTTTGATGGGTGTTTTCCAAGCAGAAAACTATTGCTGACAAAACTTCTTTTGTAAAACTGACTACATTTGAAAATAGGAACATTAGTCAACCATGGCGGTGGTGGTGTGATGGTCTGGTGCTGCTTTGCTGCTTCGGGACTTGGACCCTTTACCTTGTTGGATGGAATCAAGAACTCTGCTGTGGACAGGAAAACAGATCCATGAACCATCGAGGAGGTCACACACACACACGAAAAAAAAACAACAACAAACAAAACAAAACAAAAGAAAGACATCAGTCAGCTCTGGGAAATATTATTGATTGCATCAACTCCACATTCTGCAAATGATAACAGTGGAAAGAATGATTTCTGTTAGTCAGGACCAGTTTTCCAGCTGAACCTAGTTCAGATGTTATTCAAGTAGGAGTAGCACTGCTTTAATATGTATTACTAAAGTAAGAGTAGAATTAAGTAATACAATAAATTACTCAAGCAAAAGGAAAAAAAATACCTATGCAAATACTAATTGTTGGCTCAAAACATCACAATTTATTTTTAAACTTATATAATCTGACAAATATTTTCTAATTCTGTTATGCCAGAATATAAAATAATGTTAAAAGTAAATGACAAATAAATGATATGGTTAAGAAATAAATGTGTGCAGATAAAACATTCACAGATGAATTTTTAAAGAAATCCTGACAGTAAGAAAATGCAAGAAAAAACTTATTTTTTATTTTATTTATTTACCTCAGATGACCCATGGTGGGCAGAAAACTGGACCAAGTTAGAATTGCGACACTCTCATAAGAATAGTGGGAAGACCAAACCTCTTTAAAGCTTCTTGTTGACCAATAACAAGTTTCTACGCTGGTTGGCGCCAAATATCAAGAAACCAATGAGCAGCACCTCTGGAATGAAGCTGGTACAGGGTAATTACTGGGCTCAATGCTGCATCAATTATTCACAGTTATTTACCCTCAGCTAAACAAACACACAAATAAATAAATAAGCCTCTGCTAAGGTGTGAGTACCTGCTTCCTCCCCCTTTGTTTCTTGTTTCAGCGATCCAGAGTTGCTCTGTGTCACTGTGTGCTGGAGAACAAAAAATAAATAAAAAAATACTAATAATCATCATGCTTCTTCTTTTCCCCTAAAAAATACAAAAAAGTCTGGAGGCTGCCTGCCTAGTTTTTCACTTGAGAGAGAGGGGAGGGGGGGCGTGCAGATATCTCCATCTAAGCCCTGCGCTATAATTGAAATGGCGCATTTGGCTGCAGGCAGGCTGTGAGGGCGCTTTCTGCAGCAGCATGCATGCATGTCCGTAGACGTCATTTGATTTTAATGGCCTGCAGGAAATTTGGCGTTACAACTCCAGACATTAAGACAGGAGAGGGAGAGAGAGAGTGAAAGGGGGATAGGAGGAACACTGAAAGATATCAGTTCAAGGATAACTCTGCGTTTTTTACATATTTCCTTTTTTAACCTTAGACATTATCAACAAGTTATGAGTTAAGGAATATGGCGGCTCGCTTGGTTTTAAACTTTCCATCCAGGCTGGAGATTGAGAAGCCTTCCTGTTAGCTGGACTGCCTGAGGACTTATTTCATCAGACCAAATGACAATGATTAAAATCTGCTCCATCTAAATTTGAATCACTCACTTCCCTGTTTGGATTTCTACCGTTTTTTTCTAAACCACAACTTCATGCCGCTCCACTTTTTCCATCCAAAAAAAAAAAGAGAGAAGTTTTTCTATCTGTGAACTCATAATTTGAGGTATAGAGGGGTATCACGTTCTCTTCCTTGAGAAAATTGCTCAGGCGAGAGAGTGGAGTTGAGCTAATTGTAGCCTAATCCCCGGCCCAGAGGCGCTCGGGCAGCCCGGAGCGAGAATCATCTTTTTTAGCTCTGCTCTGTTATTTAGAGAAGGATTATTGGCTTTCTTTCCTCTCATAACAAACCACAGGGGCAGTTTTCATTTAGGCAAAGAGAAAAAAAAAAGACAGACAAGAGGCAGGAGGGAAAAACGGGAGCGGGATTCCAACAAGAGCGCACATTTTTACGCGTTTCCGAATCAGAGCAGTGAAGGGGGGAAGGAGATCATCCTCATCTATGTTCAAGGTAAGAAAGCTTCCTGTGCGCTTTGGTACAAAGCAGCTCGACGGGGACAGGTCGAGACAGCAAATAGAGCCTTTAAAGCCACAGAGACTCCCCCCCTCTGAGCGCAGTCGACCCCGGTCACATCTAAACCTCTCTGATAGGAGAAAAAAAGACAGTTGTGCGGAATTTGTGTTTAAAAAAAGATTGAGGGCAGCTCAGCTTTCGGTGCGGGGAGCTGCTGGATGCGTGTTTAGTTTTTTGGACAAAATATTTCAGCAAGGGAGGGGGGGGTTAAAGCGGACAGCAGCTGGGACTGACACCGGCACGGATTCATCCGGACTCCTTACGATGTTTGAAACGGTAGGGTGAGCATTATATTTATGGATCCAATGTTTGCTTTTTTTTAAACCAGAGCGCGAGCTTTGCGTCTGCACTGAGCTGTACGGAGGCAGCTGGAGCCGAAAGCGACATTTTATGTCTTTTTTCTTGCTTTGTATCTTGCTGTTATTTCAAAACAGAGATTTGACAAGTCTGTAGCCTATATCACACGTCTATATGCATTCTGCTTTTAATTGTGCGACAAGATGAGGCGCCATATTGAGCATTTCGGAGATTAAAGGCAGAGCGCAGGCTTTTCGTGTCCATCAAGCTTTTCATGGTTTCAGCTTCATCTGTGCGCTTTTTAAATAACATTATCTCCAACTGATGATCCGTCAGAGTTGTGAAAGTTGCTGCTTTGACTTTGATGAGGTGTTTGTCACATCTTAAATGCTGTGTGAGTTAGAGGAGGCAGTTTTTAACATTACTGCAAAGATTGAGTGACGTGATTAGAAGTGCATGGAGAATTGTGGGTCTAATTATCCATTTGTTCCCTGTGCGCGGTGTCGGTTCAATGGCTGGACTGGTGCGGTGGGGGAGGGAGAGGGGGAGAGAGAGAGAGGGATGCCGGGGATGGGACAGGCCCATATGTGTCAGGAGGAAAACTTTCAAGCTTTTCCATTTTTTTCTTCTTCTTTTTTGTCTTTTATTTCTCATGGATTTGAAATGTTTGCCACTTGCCTCTTTACTCAGCCCAGTGGCTCCTCTTTAAGGTTCAGAGACGGTCTGCTTTACTGCAAACTATTCAATTCTGCTGATTTAAATAAGTTTTATTTCCCTTTACATATATTAGACAATAAGTGTTTGTTTTTTGTATAATTCAACCGAACCCTCAAAGAAATTCTACTTATCTACACACCAAATCCCTTATATGACCTGAAAAACCAAGCTTAAGGGGCTGAATATATAAAAATAATTTTTCCACACAGAAAACAGGAACGCAGTTGTGACGGAAACTGAATTATGGGTGAAGCATTTATGCACAGGTTGGATACGCGGCCAATGCTCTCATCCACCCTGTTATGATTCTCTTAAAGCGCGGACAGAATCAAATGACGGCGTAACGAAGTGATTGGAAACATTTTTCCAAAGCATTTAATCAGTTAATCAAATCCATGCTTGCTCCTCATAACCCCCAGACCCTCTCTTCTCTGCATTATATCCCTTCTTCAACCTTATTTTGTGTTAAATCATCTCATGGGTTTATCATTCTCTATAGATTGAGTTAAACATTCTCCCGCTAGTTTGGAGCGTGCGCTTTTACGCGCTCTTGCGCGCTTTACGCACAATCTGTGCCTGCAAGTACAGTCACGTGACAAGCAATCACCTTGGAGTTTTGTGCAGTACATGCATGTGTGTGGTGTGTGTAGTTTAGGTGAAGTTGCACCCCCTAATTTACCCTCAGCCCTCTCGCCTTGACTCTTTTTCAGATCGGTAGTTGGTGCGTCTTGGCGTATCACGTCTAACACATAAGGCGACCTTTAATTAGAATATTGCAGCAGCAGTTTATTTTATTCCCCCGGAGGCTGACACCTAGCATCACCCACACCCCTCTTTTCTCTCTCCCTCCCTCTCTCTCTCTCTTCCTATCATTCTCTCTCTCAGCCCTCTTCTCTAATAAGCATCCTCCTATCCTAGCCCGCGGTGCTGCATGAAAAGATGCAAACATACTTAATTAGAACGGTGGCAATAATTTCCAAGCTAAATATGCGACCAGACAGACATGGAAGAGATCTGATAACATTCAGAAAGGATATACCTTCTTTTCCCCTCTATAGGATCCAAGTGTAGTGTGTGGTTGTTGTTTTTTTCGCCCCTCCTTTACCTTTGTTCCCATGGCTTTTCTCTACACTTGCTTTCAGGAGGGAAGAAGCATGTCACGGCTGTCTCTGACCCGGTCCCCGGTCTCTCCCCTGGCCGCTCAGGGGATCCCTCTGCCGGCTCAGCTGACCAAGGCGAACGCCCCCGTGCACATCGACGTCGGAGGACACATGTACACCAGCAGCCTGGCGACCCTCACCAAGTACCCAGACTCCAGGTAAGAAAGGTGCATTTAATATAAACTTATTCTGGTTAAATAGATTTAATCACGGTTTGAACAAAACAAGAAATACAGAAAAATAAGCAAGTGATTATATTTTTATTATAACGTTTTAAATCACATTTAATTCAACCACCCTAAAGTATGGAAAACATTCAATCTTTTCAAACCAAATACATTGATTTCAATTTTATCTAAATCTGGGATCAGGAATACAATTATTTTATCAATATCCTTTAAAAAAATAATAAATATGTTATTTAATTGTTCTGAAACTTTTAAAATTGGAATCAGATTTACATCAGAGGTGAACTTATCAGGCTTTTTTTGACTGATACCAAATTCTGGTTATATTTGAGGTGTTATTGCTTTTAGACTACAGCACATACATAAAAAAAAGGTTTGGTTTTATAGGTTAAGGAATAAGAAAAATGGGGGTAAGAAAACACTGTAAATCAAAATGTTACATACTATAAAAATGTATCCAACTCTGAGGTGATTGTTGATCAAATTAAAGACTGAAGATGATGGATCTTTTGCATTTGATGCATTCGGGGATGAGGCATAAAGAAAAATATACTTTTTTCAGTTTTGGATCTGCAGACTAACAATCAGAGACTGTCTATTCATCGACTCAAAACTGGTGAAACAATGCAGCGACATTTTAATTTAGACCAAATGTATTAAAATAATCAGGCAGAGCATGTTAAATATAAAGTTTTCATTATTTTAGGGCTGGTTTTATTATTGTTAATATTCAATCATTGGGTTGGCCTTCAGACAGTTTGGTGCAATCTTTAGTGATGTAGTCAACTTAACCATATTCATATTCCCTCTCCTGTCTTAACCTTTAATTTCTTTGCAACACAGGGTGAAATTTAAGATTACTTTCTGCAAGGAAACTTTTCAGTTTATCCAACTTGAACTCCAACTTTGGTATTTTATCTTACTCATGGATTAAATGAAATAACACATGGTTAGATAAATATGCGCTTCTCTCACAGGAGCCATTTTTAACTAAATTTTGACCCTGCCTTCAAATTTGACCATAATTACATGGATAATTAGAAAATTTGAAAATGCTGGACACATTTTCTTGAAGTTGATCCGTATTCGCGTTCTTAGTGAGTTTGGACACAGCTTTTTAGATTCTCTGCAGCTGATAAAGCAGATTAAAAGTCAAACGTGCACTTTCAGCTGTGTTTTTTTTACATTTTGCAGGAAATGTTTGTAATCATGAAATTTTGTCTGATTTTTAGTTACTACAAACAATGACATCACCACTTGTAACTCTAAAAGCAAACAAGAATAAGTCTGAAACCTCAAATGATTTGAAAAGACTTCGTCTTACATTTTGCATCTAATGCACGGTGTCATTCATTTTATAGTGGAGCGTCTTCAGCTCTGCACCAGTTAAGTCCCAAGTGGGCCAAGGTAAACATGCACCAGAGCATCTGCAAAACTGGCTACAAGAAAAACCATCCATGTAATCCCTTGGTGATAAAATTAAGATATTCAGAAAGTCTCCTATCAGAAAACCCCCGAAAGCTTCTGCTTTTATCCTGTTGCAATATGACAAGAGTAAAAAAATATATATATGTATATCTATATATATATATATATATATATATATATATATATATATATATATATATATATATATATATAAAAACCTTAGCCCAGACACCGGTTTAGTATCGTTTTTTTTCCTCATCAAGATGATTTCCCGTGTACACTTTCAGCAGTACTTCAAGTTTATGCAGTGGATACTTTATCGCTTCTGCTTCTGTGCTTCTCCACTGGTGTAAATTTACACCATACAAAGAAGTTATTCAAGCCTTAACACACACACACAAAGTTCAAATGCAGCACAGAACCACGTCAGAGCATCCAAACAGAGCTTTTACAGTGGGAGTAAAGATTAGATATCAGTGTAAGTTGGTTGGTGCTCTTTCCTCTTTCTCTCCTTTGCACACATGTTCCTTTGCCTCCTTCTTCTCACTCCCTTTATCTGTCTCTTTCTGTTTCTTTCTCACTCTGCATCACACACAAACACACACCCATATGCATACACTCACTGTTTCTTTCCCTCTCCCAGCCTCCTCAGCGTATAGTTGCCCCCAGGGCTCCACTTTCCACTGAAGCCAGAGGAAGGAGGGGCCCCTTTTGTGTGAATTAGGATAATGGCTGACAGCAGAAAGCAAAACAATTACACTGGCATGAGCATGTGTGCCGCGCTGAGCCGCGTTCGGTCGAGCGGGGCACCGCAGGAGGAGCAGGGAAAACGTGACAACCGAGGGCGAGCGGGGCTAAAAGACTTTTGAAGTCGCTGATTACTTTTAATAGATTGGGCCCTAAATAATGCAGAGTGCCAAGAGAAAGTTAGTCTAGTAACTAATGTGCGGAGATCCATCTTCTTCTGTGTGGGCCATATTAAGGGACAGGGGTCATGAAACATTGATGTGCACTCTGTAGCTCTCCAAGAGGACAGCCTCAGCAGTCACTTGAACAGAAGCTAAAGAAATTAGGGGAAATTTTACCAAGACGTGGAAACTGTTCTGAAAGGAACAATTGACTTTTTTTCCCTGAAAAGTTTTTAGCGGCAAAAAAAAATTATACATAAAAAAAAAAGCTTTTGCAGGAAAGTCCATCTGTAGTGTAATGCTTAAGTTGACACAAGTTCAAGCAGAAATCAAAGCATTTCCTTTGTTGTTGATGTTTTTTTTTCTACTTAAAAAAATAGATCTTAAACCATTTGGGTGTTTCAATGCAAAATGTAATAAGTCCAAAAAAAACTGGTTCTTATGATTGTTGATCTTAATCATTTATGTTCTCTGGCATGAAACCATTGCTGCTGCCATGTCTCTGACTGTTAGCCAGACAGCTGGAGACAGAGTAATGAAACCAAACGATGCCCATATATAAAGTTCCAGTCTTAGTTTCACGGTTCCTGGATTAGATTTTTTCAACCATAGTGGTGGACCAGAGTGGGATGTGTTGTGCGTATCTAAAACTAAACTAAAAAAACAAACTAAATCACTGTCATTTGAATGCAGCATATCTTAGTGTAGGAAATAATGTATGAATTTTCATCTGTGGCCTGAATCCATAAAACAGTAATCAGAGGCGCCACATTTTTAGGAGGATAAGTATTTCAAGCCTATAATGAGGTAATTATCAAGGTTATTATTGTCAAAAAAAACTAACAAATACTAGAATTGAAAGTGTAATAAGAGTTTACAAACTTAATTGAAACAATCAAAATTTTAAGAAAGATTGTAATTAGTTTTTGCTTATGTCTTTATCATAATGTGAGGTCCAGCAGATGCAGGTAAAGCAGTCAGATCATTTGTGTTACTGCAGATCTATGGGATTTTATTTCTATTTAGCTTTTTTGTTTGTTTTTTCCCCAGTCGTATTAAATAAAAGACAAAGGCGATTAACTGAAACTAAAAAAACTTAATTAAAACTGAAAGTATTTTTGTAAAACAACAACTAAACTAACAAACAAATATTAAAAACAAAGTAAAAAAAAATTTGAAAATCTAAAGTCAGACTAAATAAAAATAAAAACAATACATAAAAAAAACATATAAAAAGTATACTGTTCTCACCTCAAATTATCTTAAAATGTACTTTTATTGAACAACGGCAACAGGAAGAGAACTTTTAACTTAGCTCTGTGAGTGCTCCATTGGCAGCTGTTGTTGCTGCAGTGCATGATGGGACAGCTGTCAAGACTGCTCTGATGCATCGTCACTATCCGATCCGTCCAGGAAGCCCGCTACGTCCTGCGCATCCAGATATACATCCTGGTCACCCTCGATTTTATTTTGTTAAAAAGACCTAAATGACGTTTTTCATCCCCCAAAATAGTACTAAAATATAATGTGTTAAAGCTTAATAATGTATTTCCTGGTAAAACAAATGCCTTAAAATCATTTCTGTTTATCAATCTTCTCTGCCTGATCTGCACCGGAAATGGGATCTAAAATGGGATTAAGATATAAATCTAGTCTTTTTTGCATTTTATGTTTTCCTTTCGTGTTAACATTATGGTATATAGTCCGTAATCTAAATAAAGAAACAGCTAAAATGCAGATAAACATGGTTTAATTATATTTTGCCGGACTGCTCTGAGCATGTCTGATGATGATGACATCAGACAAGCAGTTTAACGCAGAAAATGTAAAAAGCATCAAAATTGTCTCATAAAACATGTTTTAAAGATGTGCATTAGCATTCTTTAGAGAGTTAAGGATACAAATAAGTAATTTTAGTACCATACCGGTAATTACATTATTTATGGACACCCGGGTGTATATCTGTTTGCTCATGCGCAGGACGGATCGTGCTTCCGGGACGGATTGGGTAGTGACAAGCATACTGGGTAAATCGGGAGGGGCGAGAACAATATCCGGGGACTTTGTCCGTTCTCGGTCTGCGGTTCTTGTGAATTGGAACATTACTAGGGCGGAGGCTGATGATGTTTCACGAGTACAGAAGCACAAGTACACATATTTAAAAATGACGAATTTGTGGCACACCTTATTTCAGGTTTTGTTCTTCCACTTGTATCTGATCTAATTCCTCACTTTTGCCCTCTACTGGATGATCCCAGTACTACAGCTGGCAAAAGACAGTTTGGTTTAAAAGTCTAAAGAAAACAAAGCCAATATTAATAACTATTTATTATTGAAAATGCATTTAGATACTAAACAAAATTTCAAGAAATTGATAGTTTTCAATCAAATATTTAATGTTTTTGATAAACTAATGTTGTATCCAAGGTACACAAGTGTATTAGTGTATTTAATGCATCAGTAAACAGGTAGCTTTATTCTGTATTTCTTGGGTTGTTTTTACATCTAATGTTTTTATAAACTTAAATATCCTGTAAAAAAAAACATTTTTTGATTAGACTTTGACATTTATATCTCTTTTATATAGTCAGGATACATAAATTATCCAAGTAATGTAATGCTGTTCAGGAAAAG